TGTGTGTGTGTGTGTGTGTGTGTATTCATGCCTGACATTCATTCTACAACTGCAGCAGCGTGTGAACGAAAGTGTCATTTTTTTGTTTGTGAACAAGCGTGGTCGTCACCTCTTGTGTGTGGGTGGTTGGTAAGTGCTCTGGTCTACTTTGCTCCTTCTTTCCTATGACAGATCTATCGTCCTTAATTTTCCTCCCCAAAACATGTTATTTTATTATCTATATTATACCCCTTCTGCCCTTGTTGCTAATTCCACTGTTCCCTATTTGCCCCTGCTTCTCTTCATCTCTTATGTATCAATTGTTCCTTGTTATTTTTATCCCTCGTCTTGCATTTTACCTGCATTTGATAACCATTAAAAAAAACGGAGAAGAGCTGGATTGTTTGGGGTTTTCTTTTTGGGTTATTTCTTGTGTGCTGATCTTCTCCTAGAGCCACTGATCTTCTCCTAGAGCCACTGATCTTCTCCTAGAGCCACTGATCTTCTCCTCTCTGCTTGGATGTTTTAAAAATAAACCAAACAAACCACCCTTTTATTCTGGTAGATTCTCCTAACACACACCAAAACTGGAGAGAAAAAGAAGCAAGCAAATGCAGTTGAAGGCAGCTGCAATAAGTATCTGTTTTTCCACACCTGACATATAGTTATTCGATTGATTGGAGAGCGCGCCTGATAGGTCCCCCACCTTTCCCTCTGTTGTTTCTGTTTGTATGCCCTATTCCTTGCTTTTTCTCTGCTTGAAATGTCGGCTAGTTAGGTCCACATGCTTCTCTTTCCTCAAATCCACAAACAAGTACAGTTTCTCTGACGCCTTGTCTAATTCGTGTCCTTTTCTTTCTCTGTATTCACAGAGAGGCAGCGAGGAACTCATGTCGAACAGTCCGATGGTCGCCAATGGAACGGGCCTTAGCCCGCACGCCTCGCCCACAGAGCTCACCGACGCCAAAAAGGTAGGTCCAACTCATTTGTTTCTCTGAGACTGCCAGCTGTTGTTCACATGTACTGAGCCCAACATTTGGAATTTGATTTATTGCCGTTTTTTGGTCTAAGATATCGGCTGTATATGCTCATGAAATATTTTGTTGAAATTCAAATTCCAAATGTTAAAAAGCAAGGAAAGATACTCAATTTAGGTCTATTGGTTGTTAAAAGAATAAACCAAGTTGTTGGGGTTTTTTTCTTTTGAAAAAAACACTTTCTGGACGTAATACATTTGATGAGATTAGTGGCGTCGTTTTTTTTTGTGTGTGTCAATTTAAGTCCAGTGTTTTGTATTTTAATTAGTCTACCATATTTAGTTTGAATTTGGGCGTTTCTAATGTGGACTTCAATTTGAACCGTCGGATCATGTCTCAGAGAGTCGGAAAGGTTCAATGATCAGATCCCGTTTTTACCTCATATTTTGTTTCTGCTTCATTTTTAGCGGGAGTGAACACGTATCTGTTTTATTCGCATTTGATCTGGGTTTGGATTCAGTTCCTGCCAGATAATTGCCACTGAAGCTGCCTACAAGTCTGTAGTTAAACTTTGAAGTGAGACCAAAGTTTCTTCCAAAGTCTCTAGCTCCCTTTCTTCGAGTTACCCTGTAGGCCTACGTGCACAGCTAAACGACAGGGGGGGGGGGGGATCGCAAGCTTCAAATTTTATTATGCCAACATTCTTTCTTTTAGCTTGCGTTAAATACATTTGAAGCTTGCACTTCTCGCCGTAGATGCGCCCTGCAGAAGGGAAGATACAGACGATTTATCAAGATTTGAACATGATGAAGCGCACCGCACCGCACCCCTATCAGCACGTCTTTGTATAGATTCTATTAAGTACGTTATATAGGAATACATAAGTCTTCAAACTGTTGCTAAATTTCCTGGCATTTTAAGTTTAATTCCACATGGTATAGTTCGTTGAAAGCAAAGCCAGTTATGTTTTCCTGTTCTCGTGTAATTTGATCTCAGTATGAATCTAAAAGACATTAGCAGCTCTGTCAACTCTGTACTTTTTAGACCTCGTTTCCGATCAAATTCTTACACCAGTCTTGTTGAATTACAGGTGGAAAAATCACTGTCTTATATTAAAGAAGTTCCCTTTTTTAACCGCACTAGGGCCTATCCCTTTTTCTTTAATAAACTTATTCATTCGTGGGAGTATAGAACTACCTAGGGCGCCGCTGGTGTGGAACTGGCTTGTCGAGTTTGGGCGTCACATTGTAGCAAAGAAAAAATATGACATAAAATGTGACCTGTGGAGCATGTCAATTTATTGGAGTGTAAGGGGACAACCGAATGCTCAGATTGAAAGGCGGTCACGTGGAAGAGTTTAGTTTTATATCCACTTTCTTGTCTTGATAGCTTCAAAGTGGAGTGATCCTTGCCGGCTAGAACTAGGGGTTTGAAAGAGGGGAAAAAAGCTTCTTCGCTGTTTGTAGTGTTCGTTGTTGTTGTTGTTGTGTTGTTGCTGTTGTTGTTGTTGTTGCTGCCTGCTGCTGTTGTTGTTGTTGTTGTTGTTGTTGTTGTTTTTGTTGTTGCTGTTGTTGTTGTTGTTATTGCTGCTGTTGTTGCTGTTGATGTT